AAAATAGTTTTATTAAATACATTTGTCTACACAACGGTTGTTTATTAATTTAAACCGCCATTTTTTTTTAATGCGAATTTAATATGAGTTCATTTATAAACGACGACCTAGTTTTAATTAAAAATGTTTTCTTGGTACAAGTGCGTGGTTTTATTTGTCAATATTTGTGAAATAACTAGTCTATAACTTAATTTAAATGAACATTTGATTTCTTATCTTTATTTTCGGCTTCTCGAAAATAAATGAACATACTATAATAAGCATAACGGTCTTTATTAAATACAATTTAGAAATATAGTTATAAAACTGAAATAATAATAATTAATTTAAAATATATGAAATAAGTACAGGAGGGCACATACATTTTAATTAAACAAAAATTATCGATCAAATAACAAAGACGAGTATAGTTTAAATATTTAATATTTTCATAAAATCAGAATTGAGAACAGTCGAGCACTCGAGCCATAATAACTCGAATTACACTTTTGGCCCTTCAAATGTATATAAATTGATCTTGATAGCTCGAATTTTATATTACTTCCCGTTCCATACGAGTTGTTGCAACTCGAGTACTGTGAATATACACATTTATATACTACACGTAGTGTTATAATCTTAAGTCTCTGTATTTAATTTTTTTCATGATTTTCAAGGAATAAGTATTATTAAAAAGTTAATGATTTTTTTTTTATCTAAACACTGATTAATTGCTATAATTAATTTATTAGTAAATTTTTGTTTTTGAAATTTTTAACTATTTTCACGTATACTCATCTATATATTCAGATATCCTTGTGTAAATGAAAAAGAACAAAGCCATATCATTTCCTAATTAGTATTTATTATTGTTAATTAATAACTGATACCTAGTTTATTAAATCCAATTAAAATTATTTCATAGGAGGATATGTGCATGGTATTGGAATACTTATATTAGAGATACTTATATAGAGTGCGGATTTGTATGTATTTACATATTTGTCATGAATGATGGTAATCGAATAATTCTTTTATATAAATATGTTTCAGGGCTATCTAAGTTTTTTAAGCTATGGTTGATACTATATATTTTTACATATCTGAGGTTATTTACACATTTATACTTTAATTACATTTGTTGTTTAACATTTCCTTATTTTGAAAAAATTTCGTCGTCGCCGTTAAATTTGTTTAAAAATATACAGTCGTACATCACGACTCTTTAGTATGTATGCACCATTAACATTAAATTAGATTATGGTATTAAATGACTGTGCTAATATGTACTAATAATATAATAATATGTACTAATATGTACAATGCACATATTATATACCTATTATAGTCATAAGCGCAACTAGGGAGGCGCAAGAGGGTTTCTAGTACCACTGATTTCAAATTTAACACTGCTGTTTTTTTGTCTAGACCAATATAATCTACAATAAATACAGTGATATACCATTCAATTTTATTTTCAGCAATTTCAGCACCTCCAGTATTCGGGCTCTATTAGCGCCCATCACTCACTTGTGTACTTTGGCTACAAACAGCTGAATATTACTGCATACATTGTAATACCATTGAGAATGTAATTTCAAAACTTGAAGTGAATGCCGTTTCAGTAGAAAATGCCCAAAATTTGATTAGAAGTACATTGTTGAAAAATAATTTAGTTTACACATACTCCAATACCAAATTCCTTGCTAATTCTATCATAAAACTTGAGTCTCAAAATTTGTCTCTTAATGATAGTCTCGATATTGTCAATAATACTGTGAGAAAATTAAAGGAAGCCCCAGGGAAGGTCGGCATAAAAATCAAGAAAAAGGTTAAACAAGTACTAAGCAAAAATTGTGGCTTGAAGACAATTAAAGCAATTGCAAATGTTTACAATAGCAGCAATACACAAACTTGCCATGATTTCAGTTCTGCTGAACTAGGAGCTTGTAAATTTGCACCGTTAACTTCAGATGACTTGGAAAGGTCCTTTAGTCGCTACAAAAACGTATTGCGCCCCATTAGACATCGATTTATTTTTTAAAATCTAGAAATGTACATTGTTTCCTATTGTTTTGTTGATGACGAGGATACTTTATTTCAATAAATGCAGTTGGTAAGTATACATAGGCGTAGCCAGATCAATTCTTCGGGGGGAGGAGGGGACAAATCGAGTTATATGGGGGGGGGATAGAAAAAAACCTATATTATAACTACCTTATTTAATTTATTTTTACTAATAAATTACAATGTTTTTAAATTAACGATCACCGCTATAGCCAATTCACATTTGAATTATCACTTATAGGTTTATTCTTTTTTTCTAATATATCAATCAATTTGAAAATCGCTGTCTTCCGATAAAAATAATAGGGGGGTAACGTTTGGGTCTAGAGCAGAGTCTAGGGAGATAATTCCTTCTTTTGCCCCTCCCATGGATACTGTCCTGAGCAAATAATTTAATATATAGTTTAATAATAAGAATCCTACGTATAGTTTAAATGTATTATGTACCTATAGCTTAAATTTTTTATTAATAATTAATTTTTTTTTTACATATCAACCGCGCCTGATTAAGGAGTTTGTCGTTAGTAGGCTCGGGTTGATTTAGTGCTCCTACGATGTATTCGGAAAGAGAAGGTTCCCGGAGGAGGTCCCTAAAAATTATATAAACATCGGACTTTTAGTGTTTCAATATTTCATAATCAATATAATATTAATACAAAAGATAAAAACATCTTCAAATTTATAATTTGTCAAATATGAAAAAAAAGGATCTTAATTTTACAATTTGCGCCAAACATTGATTCAAATCCTTTATAAAAAGTTTTACTTTCTTGATTTCGATGACGCAAAGTATTCTACCATTTAATCGAAAGAATTGTTTTTTTATAAACTCACTTTCATTAACTAACGATATTACAGGACTATTTATTATGTTTATATACCTAGTTGTAATAAAACTTTATCGAAAACATTTAATTATTATATTATAATTATCATTATTACATTTAATTTTTTATTGTATTTTCCCTCATAATCCGTACAAGAATAACATGATTATATTTTTATAATAATGTTGCGTACCGAATACTGATACTTTTGGACAGTTGAAATAACAAAACTATCTAATTTAATTTATTTTTAAAGTATGTATTATTCAATCACGGCTTCTATGTTCATAAAAAAATTATTATTTTGCACCCCCAAATTAACATTGACCGATTTGCACCCTAGGCTGTAGCCAACCCAGCCTATTGGTTAATCAGGTACTGCATATTATTTTAATTTTAAAATTTTTATTTTTTAAGTTTATTTTAAATTTACATTATTTTATTAATAATTAAAATAAATAATGTAATAATAAAATAAAATAAAAATTGAAGTTGAAATTAAAATTAAAATTTATCTATATCTCAGTTAAAATACCTCTAGTTATGTTAAAAGCGAATTATTACATTTATTTTGATAATTTATAATGTAATAAATATTAATTATTTTTAAATGTGTCGCTATCTAAAATATTTTATAACTGTATTTGTTTTTATTTCTTTTTGAATTCGAGATATAAAAGGTGTACTACACGTAAATTATTATTTGTACGGCCATCGGTCAATCGTTTTTCAAATGCGATGGTGATTTGTTGCTCTTTTCGAAAGGTGTATTGTGTACAAGTTCACCCTAATTTATATTCTATTCAGTATTCATGAGTTTTGTATCAATTTAGGAAAGCAAACATAACAAGCGGGTCGATAGTTTTCTAAACTTTCGCTATACGCGCCTAAAAACCTTAACTAATTTAGTTTCATCTCAACTAAAATGTTGCTGTGTGATATGTTTGAATAATTGAATATTTTAAATCAGACGAAAATAAAGAAATAAAGTTTTACACAACAATTGTCAAGCATGCAGAACGCAGACTTGGGGTTTATACTGTGTTCCGATTGTAAAAAGGGTTGCAAATCTAAGGTTTGAGTTAGCTATACAGTGGTTGCTCGTCCGAAGTTCCCGGAACCTCTGTCGGATACGACATTGACAGAGCAAAACGACTGAGGACGAACACTCGGGTCCGAGAAGCACAGCCTTGAACGGACGTCACCCGTTTTGTTATACGTTCCGTAGAGAGTACTTTGTGGGACGCATGATAAAAGTGCCCGTTGGGCAGATACGAAAATCCGAGTGACATAAAACTACGTAGGCAGCGTCGGGTCTACACGACGGTCGTAAAAGTCATAATTGCATTTCGAAGCACGGACCGGATGGCGGCGGAACGGTGCACGGATAATAAATCAACGACAAGTCCTGGGCAGGGCGAAAACGACACGTCCTACGAACGAAGAAACGTAAAAAACAATGGCTTGGTATACGGCGTAATGATTAATTTCGTCTCGTCTCCGAAACTCGTACTGTGCGCCATGGCGTAAGAAGCGTGCTGGCACGTTATTGTTAGGCGTGTGGTGGCAGGAGGGAGGAAGGGAGGGATAGAAGTTCGAAACATGCAAATATTTGAACGGCGAAACCGGAGAGCGCCTACCGCGTATTGATCGTAAGAGGTTTTAAAAGACCCGTCGGAATCCGTCACGCCAGCAATCGGAGGTGTGCGACGTTTCGCGATTTTCAAATATTATTTTTCTTCAGCCCGTTCCCGCTGGTTCGGTTTCGCACATCCGACGGAGCTGCTGCCAGTGGAGGACGTGACGAGCGCTGTCCTATTCACCTCCACCGGTCGATGCGCATCGGTAGCGAACGGTGGCACCACGGCAATCATGCGTGTCCTCGGAAAACAGCTGTCCGACTGCGGTTACGCCTGATGTTGATAACTGCAAACGCGTTGATAACATTTTCCATCCGAAGTACCCTTTATTTGACCCCGCCGACCCGTATTCTACCGTATCGTCGTTTTCGTTTACAGCCGCACTCGCCAAGCCACAACGTTGTTGTCCTCTTATTGTCGATCTCCTTGTCACCATTCTCAATCATTTTTGATCCGTTTTGTTTCCCAATTAAAATAATACTCCAAAATGATGATGTTCACGAAACCCACGATGGTTGTTTGCCTGTAAGTATAACGCACGACGGCCGACGATTATGGTCTCGGACGGATATCTTTTTTCTTCTTCATGGAGTTCCGTCCATCTGCAATGACCGACTCACGGGTTCCGGTCGCGGCCGCACGTCCATATATACCGCGTGATTATCACGTTTTTCGTTATTTTCGTTGTTCGCAGGAAAGGCGCCTTTACCGGTCAACAAAACCGTTCCATGGCCACGCTGAAACAGATTCAGATGCGTCTCAAGTCAGTGACGAACATCCAGAAAATCACCCAGTCCATGAAGATGGTGTCCGCTGCTAAGTACGCGCGTGCCGAACGTGAACTGCGTCAAGCCCGTCCGTATGGTGAGGGCGTTAAGGTATGCTGTCTGACCAACATAGATGTTTGGTATTGCACTTGTTATGGTAACAAGCTTGTATTTGATTGTTTGTGTGCGTGTAATACTTTTCTAGGCCTTTTTCGAGAAATCTGGTGCTACCGAAACATTAGAAGGAGCTGTTGAAAACAAGTTGATAGTAGCCATTACATCTGACCGTGGTCTCTGTGGTGCTGTTCACACTAATGTAGCTAAGACCATCCGTAATGAATTGAGTCTTGAAGCACCAGACGCTGGAACTAAAGTATTTTGTGTTGGCGACAAGTCTCGAGCACTTCTGCAGAGGTATAAATATATTAAAACACATTTATCTGTTACAATATTTTTTATGCATTATTAGTTGCTCTTAAAACCTAAATATTTTCCCTACTGTATTATTCAAATACATTTAGTATATTATGAATATCTACTTATAAATACCATATACAAGTGTTAAGATTATTTCTAAAATTAGTACTTTTAATTTTAGTTATATAAATATATGTAACATAATATATGATATTATAATATAATATATTAAAGTATATTAGAAAGTTATAAAAAATTAAAAAATTCCCTATTAATATTATATATATAATATACAATATATACTTAATACTTCATACTATATAATATATTATATGTATACTACTTAGGCATCTTGATATTACAGAAACTTCTAATTATATTTTGTTAAATAAATTTATAAAAATAAATGTGATAGTTATTCACTAAGACTTAAATACAGTTTTTAATTAATTCTTATAATTCAATTGAAATGTAGAGTAAATATTTGTATAAAAATAATCATAAATTAAATTCTGTATTTTAATTTAGTAACTCTTAGATTAGATTAGATCAAGGCTGGGCAAGTTAACAATTTTTTAACTCATTATATTAAAATAATAATATTAAGTTAAATTAAAAGTTACTTATATTTTTCGTTAACTCGTCAAGTTAAAAGTTAACTTTGAAAAAAAGTAACTTAATTTAAAGTTAAGTTTACTTTACTATAATACATTACTTTGTATTATATTTTTAGATAAAAATAAAACAAATGTTAAACCTTTAATAAATATCAAAAAAAAATTACATATTTTGTATAAGCTTTAAATTTTTCGTACAACAAATTTAAATACCTATTATAGAATATAAAAATAACAGTACATTTAAAATAATTAATTATATTTATAGAAATTGTCTTTATAAACTTATGAATTATTATATTATGCAATTATTTGAAGTTTACCAATTTTGTACTTCCACTGTTGCTAAACGTGGTAAATAATAAAAAAATTGAGTTATGACTACAGCAATTATCGTTGAAAGTCACCACATATCATTTAGGTAACATAAATAAGATAATCAATAATCTCATTTATGTGGCTATATAGCTATATATATTTATGATAGCATATATGTGTAAATAGATATGAACGTGATGTGAACAAAATACATGCTAGTTGAATAATGAAATAATATTGGAAATTATACCACAGTTATTTTGTGATTAATCCCCCCTCCCACCATTGGCACTCGCTCTCATGGTATTTACAGAATATTCTTAGGATTTCCATGGGTCTATAGTGTTTATACAATAACAATGTTATAAAAATATAATGATAAAATATAGGCTATATAATGACTAGGGAACGGATTTATATGTAATAAAAATACAGAAATATTTACATATATATGTAAGTATAATTTATAAAATATGTGCTAAAAACATCCAAATATGTGGGGAGAAAAAAGTGATTATTATTATTAAATTATCAAAATGATTTGTTGCATTGAATTATTACAATATCTTTTAAATTATCAAATGTTAAATGTCGCCTATTAGGTATCAAAATATTTTTAAAACGGCGAAATTATCGTTTCATATCAACCGATGTATAAAAGCATATTTCAAGTGCGTATTATCAGAAGGCGATAATTCCAGATTTTTAGAAGGGTGTCTGCCACTCATTATGTCATTGATTGTTTTAAAATCAATATTGCCTGGAATTTTTTTCTGTAACAGCATGAATTTTCTTTTTTACAACATCTATTGGTCCGCTTACGAGTTTTAATCGCTGATTCAACAATTTGCATACTATCATTTGGGGACATATTTTTTATTAATAATTTTGTTAAATTATTTTTAATTAAAATTAAATTATTTTCAATGTTTTCTTTAGCATAATATTTTGAGTTTTTCCAATAGCGATAGAAGTTTCTGGATCTAATTTTGAAATAATTTCTTGTATTTTCATACGAAGAAGACGTATGAACGATGAAATGATAAAAATATGTTTAAAAATATTTAAAAATTAGTGAAATATGTAAAAATATGTAATTATACCAAAATATGTAAAAATATGTAAAATAAAAGTATCATCATTTTAATAGGAATGATTTAAATCATAAACATTTCTTATCAAATCTTAAATATCTCGTTTTAATAAAAATATGTATTTACATATAAATCCGTTCCCTAATAATGACTATTAAAGTTATTTTGCATATTATTTTCATCTAGAGGAAATTCATATTAAAATAGTAAATTATAAATATACTAAAAACCTCATTTAATAATTTGCATTATCCTCTGCAATAAAATTAACTTAATTTAGATACTTTTAAATAAAATTAACTTAAAGTTAACACGTTGATCTTTAAAAAAAAGTAACTTATTAAGTTAAAAGTTAATTTTTAAATAAAGTAATGAGTTAATTAACTTAATTTTAACTTTTAACTCGTTAATGCCCAGCCTTGGATTAGATAATAATTAATATGTAATTAAAAACATGTACTTTCATCTAGCTTTAAATTTATAAATTAAATTTAGAAAAATTATTTTCATATAATCTATTCATCGATTTCTTAAATATTACAAAATATTTACTTAATAAATCAAATTTTTTTTTACATATTTTCTATATCTAAGTGTAATTATTATAAAGCATTAACACTTATTTGATCAGTACAATACATTTTATATAATTTTAATTTTTAGTGTTTAATATTTTTATATTTATATTTATTTATTTTCTATGATAATTGTTTTAATTCTTTAATCTATAAAAAAGTCTTATTATTTTGTATTCCGTTAAAATGTTAACCAAATTACTTAAAAATACATTAAGTTATTTATAATGAAAAAAAACATGTATATAATAAAATACATGCTGCTTAATTATTTTTATACCGATAAATTATTCAATAAAAACTAACATAAACTACAATAATTTATAAATATTGTTATAAAGTTATAACTAAGGACTATTATGAGTAGAGACTGGATTTGTATGCGCTTAAAACCTTAGAAATAAGATGTTTTTATGCTCTATAATTTCATCAAAATATTCTTTTTTATGCTCTAAAAACATTTGTGTATCAGTTCATGGGTACATGAATCATCCAAAAAACTTATCCAAATGGAGCTGCATACTCTCAGTAAAAATATGTAAAAACATAAAAATCCGGTCTATAATTATGAGTCATTATTAAAAAAAAAATGTTACATATACCTATAAAATAGATATTTAAAAAAGTGTTTTTTGTTAATATCTATCTTAAATTAATGATTGGTATAATACTTAATAACTGCTAGGTATAGATAAATGTATTATTTTCTTATTGTCAACTGATGTATAATAGAATGTCTAATATCAACTAAATTGAACTAATAGAAGGTTACCATCTTAGTATTATACTTCATAAAATGCTTCAATAATTATTTTCTTCGATTATTCATTGATTCTTAACTGTACATTTAGTAGTTTTCATTGAGTATAATTTGATAATTATTAAAATATATTTAGTTTTTATTGAAAATTCCTGTAAAATATCATTACCTAATTACTTTTTGTAAAATTACACTTATTATTAATTAACTTATTTTATAAAGTATAAATTAAAAGTATCACTTTGAACTATAGTTTTTAATTTAATTTATTTAAATAATGTAAAATAATGGACTAGTAAAAATAATATTGTTTAAAGTATTATTTTCAATAGTGTCATATTTTAATTATTTTCTTTTTCTTTAGTTTTATATTTTAGTTTATTATTAATATGATAATAATATATAAATTTAAGAAAATTAGCTCATCAAATAGAAAATTCATGTTTTAATTATAAAATTGTATTTTCTATAAATGTAGAAATGTGTAATGATTTTATAACAATATTAAAATAGTTATCCAATTCAAAATGTATTTAATGTGAGTAAAAATCTTTGTGATCAATTCAAATTAATTTCATTTTATATAATACAATTGAAATAATATATATAAATAGTTAAATTCAGTGTTTGTTTAATTTTGACTTATATAAGTTATGTTTTTACATACTAAAGATCTAATTATTATTTATTTTTTTAGACTTTATTCTGATAATATTGCTGTAGTTGCTAACGAAGTTGGTCGCAAACCACCCACATTTTTGGATGCATCTAAAGTAGCTAATCAATTGGTTCAGTTAGATTACAACAGTGGAAAAATTATTTACAATAGATTCAAGTATTTTTTATCATTGTTAAATTATTAAATTATATTTGTTTATACATATTTTTTTCTTAATTATGAATTATATTTTGTTAAAGGTCTGTGGTATCTTATCAAACTGAAGAAGTTCCATTGTTGAGTGTAAAAACCATGTTAGCTGCTCCAAAATTGCAGACCTATGACAGTATTGATGAAAGTGTTATGGAATCATACCAGGAATTTACAGTAGCTGCTTTATTATACTACACAATGAAACAATCAGCCTGCAGTGAACAATCTTCAAGGATGACAGCTATGGACAATGCTAGCAAGAACGCCGGTAATTAAAATGATTAATCATAAAAATGCCAAAATGATTTAGTTGACTCTATAACATAATATGTTTTAATTATTTTATTTAGGTGAAATGATTGGCAAGCTCACTTTGACATTCAATCGTACAAGACAGGCTGTGATTACCAGAGAATTGATTGAAATTATTTCTGGAGCAGCAGCTTTAGAGTAGAATTCCAAATTATTGTTAAATTATCCAAGCATCGTAATTATTATAGAGATTGAGGGTAACAATAGTTGCCCAACTGAGTATCACTACATTGAACAATATTTAATAATGATTTCTTTATACATTTTCTTTTCAATTTAGGTTTCATATTTATACATTTGTGAAAAAAAATTATAAAAACAAACAATAAAGCGATCAGTGATATTTATCAATGAGTAGAAATTTTTGTGTAAATTATTTGGTTGTGTTTAATCTTAAATTTCATAGAAAACTAAATGTTATGAACTATTGTGGAGCAATATTGAAATATGTTATACTAAGTTCAGTTTAAGGAAATTTAAATTTTATGGGAGATCCAGGTAAAAGGATTATATAATTTGGGATAAAAAAAGTATTTTAAACTACTTGACACATAAGCTGTTTCATATTTCTACTGTTAAAATTTTTGTTTATACTTTTTTAAGTGTAGGGTTAAATAAATATAAAATAAACTAGAACATGTAAAACTAAACATTAAAAGTAAATTAGAATATAGGAAATAAAATAATTTTTTATTATAATTAAAATAAGATTTTTAATAATTATTATGAAAAATATAATATATATATTATATTCTTTATTTTAATATTAAGTAATAATATACTTATAGTGTCTAGTTGTCTTCTAGGTTGTTTTATAATAAATTTTTATTAATATGTTAGATATCTGTTACTCAATTAATTCACTAGGATAAAACTAGTAGCAATAGCACTGATTATATACATTAAGCATATGCTATACTGATTTAATTATAATGAACAGTAAATCATTGTAAATAAATTTATTTAAAAAGAAAATACTGAAATTGCTGTTTTACTGGTAATATATATATATATATACTATTAGGTTATAAAAAATAATTTCATCAATTTTTAATATGCTGCAGTTTTTTTGTTAACCATATTTTTATTTGAATTTAAAAAGTAAATAATACTTGATCATTAACTCTCTTATGTTTATATTGATAAATGGATATTTAATTAAACTTATAGTATAAGTAAATTGTAATTTGATAAAAATTCAAATAATGGTGCTCAAAAATTGTTGACTCATTATTATACTTAATTTAAAGAAAAAAAAACCAAATACTCTGAGAAACTATTTATTTATATATTAAATATTTATAGTTTTCTCAGTAAAACAAGTAACTTAATACTTATAACACTTTATAATAAAATACTATTTAATACATAAGACTAAAATGAAATTTTGTTTTAATTAAATTAATTTAAAAAATAAACACATGTATTTTATCACTTCAAAATCATTATTTTCTCAAATCTGCATTAATCTTTTTTCTTTTTTTAAGTAAACATTTTTTTTTTTTTTTTATAGAAATTATGAACAATTTAAATATCAAATAATTGATAAATAATTGAAAAAATGAAATAATTAATGTTTTTTTTTTCTATATAATATTTACTAAGGAATAATTATAAAATAGTATGAAATTTATAAACACTTTTTAACTGTTACTCAGAAGTATTATAATTTTCGGATTAAAAATAATTTGTTGTTAAAACATATTGAGAATACATATTAAATATAATTCAATATTATTGTATTTGGAATAAATAATTAAGTTTTCTTTAGTTCCAAACATCATATGTTAAAATTGAAATTATTTACACTTATGATAAATTACATTCAGATAATTAAAGTTGCTTAATATTTTCACTAAAATCCTATAATACTCGTTAAATAACTATATTATTCAGACATTTAATTGATAATTTTTAAATATATATATAAATATGTTGATCATTATTTGTAAAAGTATTTTAATATAGTAATTATTTAATTATTCCTTTCATGAGTTAATAATAATCTTCAGTACAAATATAGTACTATATAATTTTATACATAAATAAATTACACATTGAAAATTTATTTGGTTCATGTTAACTCGTCAAAAAAATCTTCAATATATCCATTTTTTGTGAAAATTGGTTATCTATTAGATTCGTTAATTAACTAAGTATTTTTAATCATTAACACCGTATAATATTTTTAAAGATTATTATTCATAACTAACAATGTATATATTTCATAAGGTATTAGTAATAACTTATAATTAACAATTTTATAATTAAGTCTTTATCACTTGAAGTTTTTATTAATTAAATAGTTTGATGGTAAAATGTAGTGTGCTATGCAATTTAGTTTATAGTTACATAAATGTACAGTTGTTGATAAGTTTATTTTCATTAAAACTCTTTTGCCTAAAAATGTAACATTTTCAATATCAAGTATTTTAAGAATTACAAATGCTCTTATATCTTAGTTATAATTTACATCTTTTATGCTAAACATAAGAGTATTAATTGCTTTTGTCCTATATTGCTTTATTTATATGTTGAGTTGGTAATTAAATATTGAAAGATAATAATTATATAACTGGAATATTCAACTTTTACATGTAGAATAGATACAAACTTTAAATAAAGCGAGAAAAGACTTTAAATTGATCACTATAATCAATTATAAAAATGTTATTGTTTTTAATTTGTGTAGCATATATTTTCTTTATGAAAATTGAAAACTAAATATAAATGAATTATCTCCGTGTTCGAATGTTTTCAACAATATTAGAATGATCTACGTTTCGCACAGCATATTTACCTACTTCACGACTTGTATCTAACTGGTTACTAATATTGTATTAGTTATGACTCGAGTAACAATAACAGTATGTTATTCAGATAAAAAATTAACTGTTATAAATATCTATTTTTATTTTTAATACTTTTGTTCTCACTGACCACTTGAAAAGTAACAGCTTGTTAAATAACAATGATAGCAGCACCATCCAGTAACAATTATTCGGCGATGCAGATGATTCTTAATGTTCTTCATCTGTTACTTGTCAGTTTTTACTGTCACTGTCCTACGTTGTTATTGTATTATTTTAAACAATCACGTAATCGTTATTTTATTACTTCAATATTCAACTGTAAATTATTGTTATACCACTTACTTATAGTATTAATCATAATTCACAGTATTTTTACATTTCGGTCGAAACAAATTTTTCCATCTCTAACTACATGCATACATAAGTACATAGTGTATTGACTTTAGTACAAACGCCTTTTTTTTTTTTATTATTGAAAATAAACGAAAAACTTAAATATATAATGATCTTAACATTATAATTTCGGGAATTATAATTAATATTGTAAAATCAAAACTAACTAAATCAAATAACAAACAAAAACAATTTATATAATGTCGGTAATTAAAATTAGGTATTTTAATTTGCAGTAATATAAACTATTATATTAAATATTAAAATGAATCATGACTAAAGTTTTTTAGTTACTATGATAAAAAAACAAAAAACAATTTTTCATTTATAAAAATATTTGTATCGGTGTCTTTATGTAAAAAAAAAAAATTACCAAGTAAAATGCACATGGGTGTAGCGAGGGTGGGGCAGGGGGGCACTTGCCCACCCCTGCGCCTCAAACTGAATTATATTTGTGTATACCAAACGTGTAAGTTCTTTATTAAAATCAAAAATTAAATAAGATGTAATTCTAAAAATAGTTTAGTGGAACCGAGTGATATCTACACGTGTAATCGTTTTGACGTTTTATGTGTTATCCAATGGTCTATCTGTAGATTATTTGAATTACGAGTTTAACAATAATCATTTTATGTTTTTGCCCCTCCCTAATTCAAATTTTAGCTCTGCCCATGAAAATGAATTTGTATTTATTAGTCATATATCCATAATTTCGGCAGGAGCTAGTTATTTGCAACAAAATTAAGGTATCGCAAGTAGTCGAAACTAGTGTTAGTAATTTGTACCAAAGTTAATACTTATCCATGAACTTCATAATCGAGTATTCGATTGTCTGTTCGACAACATCATTAACAATGTCATAGTGATCAAGACAAGACTGACTAGAATGCCAAATGATAAAAACAGTTTTTCAGAATTTCTAATTAATTACCGCCATACCAGTGCGATATAAATTTGTTTTTTAATTTTAATAGTATAATTGTATTTATTAATATTTTTTTGTATTCTTTTTTTTATCGACTAAATTTGTTGGAACAACTAACAAACGCATTTTAAAAAAAAAAATGTCTGCGCAAATTACACATGCTGTATATATTTTGGGTAATTTCTTGTGTACATTTACTATAGCCATTTCGAATATATAATACAATTATCTTCCTATTAGCTATTTCATTATAATTATACATATTTTTAATTGAAACGTTGTAACAATAGTTTACCAATTCTCTCAAATGAAAATGAAAGGTTATTTATAATTAATAGAACATCAATAATAATAAGTTTAAAAACGATATAAAAAGAAAAATGTTAATTATGTTGTGTCAACACTAACGCAATGGCTTGACCTATTTACATAAATAATGAAGTCTTCGAGACGACTAAAATATTTAAAGATAAACAAGAATTATAATACTACCTGCAGTTTATTCGATTTTATCCTCGTAGTCGAATTATAATTTAGGGCTATTTTAAAACAATTTATTTTTACTGGATTTATTAAAAATAGTTTTTTTCTTCAGATTTTGAGCGAAGCAATGGTTATCGAATTTTATTTGATTTTATTCCAAACTACTTTTAAGTGGTACATCCATTCTAAGTTGTTTTATAGCGTTTATTTTTAATTACACATTCTAAAACATAATATTTTTTTGAAAACTGTAAGTCGTATTTTGCACCGGATGCCAATATTTGAAGGGCGTTACAACGGCCAGGGCTCATGTCACTTAAAAGTAAACATTTCATTGATTACGCTCGTGTTGAAAATGTTTTGCTTGTTAAAAATAATTTGGTTGAAAAATAACACATAATCAACCATAGTAAACCTTCAAAATCTTTACTAGTTTAATACTAAATAAATGATTTATACAATTATTGAACAAAATTGTTGGTACTTTTTTTTAATTTAAATCTCGTATGTATCATATTTATATTTTTTATGTTATGAGACATGATTAAATATATATTCAATTAATTTAAGTTTTTGTGTGCCTACTTATTGGGGTCATTTTAAATCGTAGATTAAGTATATTTTTACATAAAAATTAAACAATTTTACTGAAAAATAATTAAAAATTTACGAAAACACGAAAAAATTATACATCAATTTTAGTTGCTCACTTTTGGTACATTATCGTATTAATATTTTGTATTATCTCAATTTTTAAATGTATCATCTCAGTATAATCGTTAAATAATAAATTATATGCAACCAAGTGTTCTAAGCAACAATGTTCACTGTTCACATAGGTACATAAATATAAATGTTTTTTTGTTTATTTTTTTATTATTTTGTTCGGAGAAAAGAAATATTAAAAAATGAAAAAATACCATAAAAATCCATTAAATATGCCTCAAGACTTGTAGTCGTGTAAATTGTATTGCTTGATGAGGTTTGCGCAATGAAATTTTACGAGTACAAATAAATAAATAACATTTTTACAGTGTATATTATAACTAGTATATAACAAATTTGATTAATATGTACATATTAAATTTATATTTTGTTCTAAATTATGTACACAAGTTATGTGTGCGTTTCAGAACGATTGTTTTGCTTAAATCTTCTTGTGAACACAATTTTTATAGCTGTGCACGGCTTAATGTGATATATAGCAATTAAGTTATACCTATATAATAATATGTTTCTTAAACATTATGGCTGCAAATATATTGACATATCATTGGCACAATTTAAATAGGATTATTTACTAATTATTTGTTGACATTTTTAAAATTTTTTATTTTAATGTTTATTGCAGCAAATCAAAAGAAATCAATTGGAATATACCAAAGGAAAGAGAGAAATTGGCTAAATCCGAAATGGCTAATAAAGCTTAAAAAAAATGTCTGTTGCGACCATAACTTTTTTTAAATTTATTCACAAAAATTGGAGTGTTAAATAAGTAAGTAATAATTTTAATAGTAAATGTTATAAAAAAATAAAAAAAAACAATATTTTTATTTTATTATAAAATACATGGGTTTTTAATTTTTTAATTTCATTTGCTATTGTCGTAAACATTACAGTAATGCAATTAAATTAATTATACATAGAATTCAAGTACCTAGTCAGCAATATTTTTTAAAAATAAGGTAAAATAAAAATAAATAAAAATATTTATGAATACAAATAAATTAGGTAGCCGGGGAAATTGATGAAATAAATAATAGAATGAATGGTAGAAGTTGGAAATACATTGTTATTATTGAAAAATGTATTAGTTGATATTTTATATTGGCATTTTATTAAAATTTTAAACTTTTTTTTTAATATTTTTTTTTTGTCAGTCTATCATTTTAATAATAAATTATATATTTAAAAAAAACGTTTTTATGACTACAAAAAATCTCGATATGTAAATAACAAATAACATTGCTACAAATTATATTTTTTATGAAAAATTATTATTTAAGAATATAAATTCAGTTCAATTATACCAAAAGATCAATGAACTATGTATAATAAAATCAAAATTTTGTTCGTCAAATTTATAAACGTTGGTCCTCATAAAAAATTTAAAATTTTTATTTTGTAAAAGATTTTTCAATCATCAAAAGTTGTTCTTAACTCTTAAAATGTTTACATAATGTAAGAGATGTTATAAAAATGCAAAAGAACTAAAAAGTTTAAACTCAAAATAACAGTTTAATTTTGATTTGACTTATACTCGTATTAGGAAAGCTTGGGTCTATTTGACACACTTCTTATGATTTTTTTCCACAGTCAAAATTTTGCTGTATCAGTTATCAAATTTGATTATATTAATTAACAAATATTTATGCTAGATAATAGTAGGTACTTAATTTTTTTCTTAATGTCTAACTTGATTTGATTCAAAAGTCATAACTTGAAATAGAAATATTGTGTCAGTTTGCCCCGGGATCAGGATTAGTTGCTACAGACTTTGGGGCATATTAATATAACAGCAACACAAATTTATTTTTATAATACTATTGAGTCTATGTACAATAATTATTAAATACATTTCAATAATATAAACATTGGTGTATAGATTGTCGTAAAATTTTTGATTTGTTGATTCCTAAAACCGCACACTTTTGATAAAATACAGAACAAAACCGCACTTTTTTGGTAAGTTAAAACCGCCGGTGTATACTAGTTGCGGTCATAATCAAAATTACGTACTAGTTGCGGTCACCCAACAAAAAGGTTACATACTAGTTGCGGTAACTCAAAATATATATCTAGTATATATGGTATATATATTTATATTATTATTTATTATTTAAATGCGCAAGTACTTTGGTTAAAGGAATTTTCCTTCCATAATAATTCGTTTGTAACTGATCGCCCCCCCCCCCCAACAAAAGTTATATATACTATTGGACTATACAATATTATTTATTTTATATATAAACTTTACAGATAAGTAATAGGTATATGATCGCAACTAGGATATTACTTACAATTCGAATGACCGCAACTGTTATATGTCCTTATCTCAAAAATCGTCTCTGACCGCAACTCGGATGCAGCCAAAACCGCACAATTTTTAAAATTGTTGTATCCAAAAACCGCACACTTTTGATTTCGACCCCAAAAAAGTTATACTTATCTAGGTTAGGTACACTTTATAGTTTATAATTTAATCAAACAAAAAAAAAAAATTATATAGGCACTAGTATTCTAAAATGAAAATTGTATAAAAGTGTATTCAAACAAAAAAAAAAAAAAAAAAAAAAAATGCATATACAAGTATTCTAAAATGTAAAAAAATTTAAAAATGTGGATTGTAAAATTTTCAAAGTGTGATTGGCTGAATTCTATTACCAACATTTTTTTAAAAAACTTTATACGATCTCCGTCGATTAAAAATTCTTTCCACCATTTAAATAAGTGCTAAAATAAGACAATTTAATTAAAAATCGAAATATTAAAACTTGTTAGCATGATTATTGCAGTATCTCATACATAAAATCTCGTGTCACAGTGTTTGTCCGGAATGAACTCCGAAACTAATGGACTGATCATGATGAAATTTTTTACACCTGTGTAATTTGGTCCAATTTAAAAGATAGGATAGTTTTCATCTCAAATTTTTTAATATATTTTTTAATACATTAACTTTTTTATACATTTACATACTTATGTGTAATTGCATGGTGTATTTCGGGTATTCCTGCGACCGACCGTGATAGTATCTAAATAGCTACCTGTAACCTGACATTTTTCTATTGTGTGTGTTTTATCGTCGGCGGCGTGTAGATATGAATAACGATACTAGATATTTTAGCTAGGAGAGTTTTTATCTCGATGAAGGCCCTCAATATTTTTGCTATGGAATAATTGTGAAAACTGTTTGCAATTATTTTGACGACATGTAACCCAGCCGAATCATTAACTCTGTGGGAAAATTTAAAAACTATATGACTGAAGACGTACTGCACCGATTTAAACAAACAAACCAGTATTCAAATATGGATTTCACACAACAGATGTATAATGAAGCACTAATTTTGACCGAGGATTTATGTATTTTAATTTCTAATTTGCCACTTAATCATTATAGTATGCCATCACCTGTTCGCCCAGCCATTGACTTAGTTAACAGTGATTTACAACGAGAAAAACAGTTCAACGAGGTTGACTTAGCTATAGTTATTAAGAATAATGAACCATTACTGACGGCTGAACAAAAAATAATTTATAATCGGATTATTCTAACTGTTGATGCTGAAGAAGGTGGCTTTTTTTTCTTGGACGCGCCAGGTGGAATCGGAAAGACATTTTTAATATCGTTGATCCTTGCAAAGATACGGTCGTAATAGAAAATGCATTGGCAGTTGCTTCATTAGGCGTTGCTGCCACTTTGTTAGATGGTGGACGAGCGGCACATTTAGCATTCAAGCTGCCATTAGACATTCATAACAAACTAAATGCAATGTGTAACATTAAAAAAACGAGCGGAATGGTTTCAGTGTTGCGAAGGAGTTCAATCATAGTCTGGGATGAATGTACCATGGTTCATAAACATTGAAGCATTACATAAAACGATGCAAGATTTGAACGACAACGATAAACTTTTTGGTGGTGCTGTCCTACTACTGTCTGGCGATTTCCGATAGACATTGCCAGCATTCTTCGCTCTACTTATGCCGATGAGGTGAAAGCATGTTTAAAACAATCGTTTTTATGGCGAAATGTCGAAATACTTCAATTGACCATAAACATGCGAGTACAATTGCAAAATGATCCATTGGCAAAAATATTTTCTGAGCAATTGCTGGATATTGGAAATGGTAAAATAGAACTGCATCCAAATACACAATGCATCAAATTGCTAGACAATTTTTGCAATGTAGTGCAGACAAAAAAATGAACTAATTGAGAGTGTCTTCCTGGATATACTGAATAATTACTTGAATCAAAATTGGCTTAGACAACGTGCTATTTTAGTAGCAAAAAATGATGACGTTGACAAAATTAACTTTCAGATACAACAGTTATTGCCAGGTAATTTGATATCTTTTAAATCAATCGACACTACTGTCGATGAAAACGAAACAGTAAATTTTCCTACTGAATTTTTAAATTCTCTGGATATACCAGGAATGCCACCACAAAATCTTCGATTGAAGATTGGTTCACCAGTTATTCTTTTGCGTAATTTGTATCCACCTAGATTATGCAACGGTACACGTTTGGTAATCAAAAGAATCGCCGGAAATGTTCTTGAAGCAACTATTTTGACTGGGAAGTTTAAATGAGTTGTGTAGTTGTTGTGTAGTTTCCACGTATTCCCATGATACCATGAAAATCTCCTATACCAATTAAAAGACTTTAATTTCCTATTCATTTGGTATTCGCAATGACCATAAACAAGTCTTAAGAATAAACAGTTTACATTTGTGGCTTGGACTTGAAAAATCCATGTTTTTTCCATGGGCAACTATCTATACATTTGGTAGGTCTGCGAATAAGTCTTTATCTATTTATTATATTCCTAAGTGCTATTGTTTAATAATTTGTAGTTTAATTTAATAATTTTTGACCCGGTCGATAATTGCGCAATTGAAAATTAATTATTAAATGATACTATTAAAAAACTATTAAAAACTATTTAAAAGCTATTCATTTTATTTTTGGTATTAAATGACAGATAATTGCATAAATATTAAACAACAAAATCCTGCAACAGGTGCCAAAATAAACAAGAATATAAGTTTGAAGGATTATTATGCATATCGGTTGATGATTAGATGCGATCAGGACAACGTTATTCTACGATGTCATGAGCTTTGTCAACAATTAATGGTCGACGTGTATGTAAAGATAAAGAGCGAACGATGATAATTACTTGATATTTTCAATGAAAAATAGCTTCGTGTGGAAGATTCTCAAAACAATTGTCAGATATCGGTGATGGGAAAGTTATTACAGATGAAACGGGATTCATACAATTACCGACCAATTTCTGCACAATCATTGATTCACAAGATGCTCTCATTGACCAGTTATTTCCCAATGTACACAGAAAATACACAAATCATGAGTGGCTGGCAGAAAGAGCAATTTTAGCAACAAGAAATGTGGACGTCAATGAATTAAATCTCAAGATACAACATTTGTTACCAGGAGACTTGGTGTCATAGAAATCTATTAATACAGTTTGCGATGCTACTGAAGCTATAAATTATCCAACAGAGTTTTTAAACTTATTGGATTTACTAGACATGCCACCGCATAATTTACAACTGAAGGTTGGATTTCCGGTTATTTTGCTTCATAATTTGAACCCACCACGGTTGTGCAACGGCACACGATTAGTCATTAAAAAAATAATGAAAAATGTTATCGAAGCCATTATTTTAAATGAAAAATTCCGAGGTGAAAATATATTATTACCGCGAATCCCTATTATACCCACAGATGTGCCAATACCATTTAAACGCCTTTAATTTCCAATTAGATTGGAATTTGCAATGACTATCAATAAGTCTCAAGGCCAATCGATGTCTTTCTGTGGTTTATATTTGAGCACATCATGTTTTTCACACCGAAAATTATACGTGACGTGCTCTCGAACCATCCAGTTTGTTTGTGTTGGCGAAAGATGGGATAACAAAATATATTGTACACTCTATTGTATTATGGGATTGATATATATATATATATATCATTTTTAAAGGATCAATATTAATAAATTATTAAAAAATAAATGTTTGATGTTTTATTATTTTTATATTTTGTCACCGTTCACAGCACTTACCTCTTCCACTTATATACCACATCCTTACACTCCTATATTAAATAAGTTATTTTTTTCTAGCAAAATATGCATTAAAAATAATTTATATGACAATATAACGTTTGTCGTGTCAGCTAGTATAATTATATAATGCACTCTATTATTCTATGTTTCATTAATAAATAATATTAAATGTTATTTTCTGTCAGCTTCTACTAACTGGGATAATCTGAATGATCGGCCGGGACACTGGGACGAATAGCAAGCCTAGTTGTAAATATACTAAGTTTTAAAGAAACAATAAGTTATTTCTTTATCAAAATGGTTCTGAGCAAAGGTTCAATATAAAAATCAACGATTTATAAGTATATTTTACCATTTTTAGTTTAATTGTCGGTAGCTTCTTTTTTTCTCAACCTGTTTAATATTTTACTGTATGAAGAAGAAAATGATTTATATTTTAACCAAATATTTATTATTCAAAGTTTCATTATGATTGGATGGACCAAATTTTTTTAATAAACATTTAATGTTAAAAATTGATGTAAAAACAGTAAATTCCGTAAAAATCGTAGGTATAAAAATTTACGCTTATGAAATAAATTTCAGACTAATGATTTTTTAAAATTTTTTCAATATCGGTAAGTAAGTAAATACTCGTATATGAGTTAAGTGGATAATACATTTTCACTTAATATCCAAAAATAAAAATTTTATTACATAAAGACTTTCAAAAAATTAGGTATTTTTAAAGTTCTATAATTAAGTTAAATGCGTTTTTTGAAAATTTTATCAAATACGATAAAAAATATTTTAGCTATAGAGAAAGAGTTTCAAATTTCTAGCCACGTTACATTTGGAATTATAACTAAATAACTAAAATCTGAAAAGTGAAAGTCTTATTTACAGCGTATTTTTACTGTTTCAGGACAGTTTTTTCCTCACGCTTGGAAAAACTTTTAAGATTTAAAAATATTATAAAAATGACCTATCTAAAGTACCACCACATGCCAATTTAAAATCTAAAAAGTTCCTAGAAAAAACTTTTGGACCAGTATTTATATCCGAAAAAGTGTTAAAAAAATAAAATACAAACATTATATTACCATAATATTCTTACCGAATCGCAGGCTTGGGTAAAATACATTTTAAAAGTATTTAGAATAAATACTCGAATAATTACAAAAAAATAGTATTCCGAATATGTATTCAAATACTTTATACAAATTGTATTTCGAATGCATTATTTAGAATACTTCAAAAGTATTCCGAATACGAGACTTTTAAAATACTTCTAGTTTTCATACTATAAAAATAATAGAAATATTTGAAATTGTAGGCTAAATATATGTTATTTTATTGTATTTTTATGTTACATAATTGTTATAGTTTATGGTTTACAACAATAATAAATACCTGATATTAGCTTATACAAGATACGATGGAGAAGTAATAAAATCATTTAAAAAAGAGATGATTTAACGGTATTCGAATACAGTATTCAGAATATTCGTTTTAAGTATTCAAAATACTTTATTGAATATTTTCTAAAAAAGTATTTAAAAAGTATTTGAAATACTTAAAAAGTATTCTGAATACAGTATTCCGAATATTGTATTCGGAATACTGCCCAAGTCTGCCGAATCGCTTTACTCAGAATCTAAATGTGATCATGTGATGAAACATTTGTGTTTACAGACGGGTAATTCGTTGTACGCGCAATAAAAATATAAAATAAAAGTGAACAATTTAAATTTAGAAATATTCAAATATTTACCAAATATTTTAGTAACTGTTGAATTGTATGGGTTGTCGGTATCCATAACCATTAAGTAACATGAAAAAGATAAAAGGGTTTCAGCACCCTCAGTTTTTTCATTAAAATTGTGCCCCTGTCTCTGTTACATATTAATATCGCACACTATTACTGAATACAATATTAAATATTGATACTTTTTATAGATAACTATTGTAACGATTGTTACATATTATTAATGTCTACTCATGTAATATAGATATTGCTGAGTATACATTACATTAAGTCGCGGCAGTTCTGCCACGACGTTCTTCCGATGTAGCTGAACTCCATATTGTCTTGATGTAGTCCATAGTCCGTAAGTCATATTTATATATGTATATTAAATAATAATAACTAAACTAAATCAATCTACATTTATTTGTAATATTAAGATCTATTCTTTATGTTCTCGAGCTACAGTATAATATATTCACAAGGATTAGAAAACCTTCCATGAATATCATATAATTAACTGGTCATCCTGACCACGTTACATATTGGTGGAGGAGCCGTAACCATGGAATTACAAATATTTGAGATTCGTTTAGATTTTTATTAAATAGTAGTTGTTAACTTGTTTTATATAAGTGTACTTTTAATAAAAATTAAATTTATAGAAGTTTAGAGAGTTGTTTGGTGAGAATTTATGAGATTTAAGTATTGAAGATAATAGTGTAGGGAAATAGTGTGAATTTATAATTTTTTTATTACCAAAAAAACAGCATTGAGATTAATAGATTTAATTTATTACATTTATATAATTGTTGTATTGATAATTATAGAGTAAGCAATTAAAGAATAAAAAATATAGTTATTAAGAATAGGGTAATGTAATTTTTTTTTGTCCTTGCGAGTAAAAATAATTAATACTTCAATAAATAATGATACTAAATGGATAATACATTTTATATTAAACGTAATACAAATAATCAAATTACAAAAGTAAATAAAATTAATTTAACTTAGAGGCAAATTTTGGTCCCGAAATAAATGAAGAAAATTTAATAAGTCTGTTACGACTAATCGAATAGGTCGATCTAGGAAATTTTTTTTCAAATTCAAGGTTTGGAAAGTTACCATTTTCTGCTAAACTTGTACAAAAATTCACACTGTGTACCTTATATGTGGTAGAAAGTTTAGAAAAAGAAGAATTCAACCAATTACCAGTGGAAAATAAATTCGAATTTATAATTTCTCATAGAACTGTAGCGTGGATAAATTCATCGGATAAAACTGAATTAGTGGGTTTCCTAAAATTTTGTAACATACATAGTGAAATTACATCAACAATTGTATAGTTAAAAAATCTAGCAAAAACAGCAATAAAAAGTTTTAGAAACAATCAAGACCTTGATGATAGCCTTAACGAGACAAATTTAACATTTACAGACGATAGTTTCCCAATTAATTTAAATAATAGTGGAGATAATTTGGTGAACCTAACATTTGTAGAAAACATCGAACCGGATAACGTAGATACTCTAAGCATAGGAAAGAAATCCTAAATTAATAATTAATAAAAACAAGTGTAATATAGAATCAAAAATGTCATTTAAAATATTACATCGGCCACAGCCATTTTCAGACGATTTAGATCAAGATGTAGAATCATTTTTTGATAATTATGAATTGGCTGCTATTATAAATGAGTGGGGCGACCGTGAAAAGATTATTTTGTTACCAATTTATTTAAAGTCTACAGCAGAAAATTTTTTTAAAATTATTAAAACAAAAAATCCTAAAATTACATGGCACGATGCAAAAAAACAAATAAAAGAAAAATTTACCACCATAGGAAATAAAATACTGTTACTAGCACAATTAAAACAAAAAAAATTAAAGGAAGGTGAGAAATTAAGTAAATTTGTTATAGATATAAGTGAGCTATGTAATAGAATAGATGTAGGTATGAAAGAGGAAGATATTTGAGAAAAATTTTTAAATGGTCTAACGAATGAGGTGTATGAAAAAATCGAAATTTTAGACAACTCAACCATAGATAATATAGAAAATAACCTGAGAAAGTACGAGTTATCAATATTAATCAGATCAAAAGATGATAAAGGCAATAAAGACACTGAAAGGTTAGAAAAGGAAAGAGATGTACTAAAAAATCACTTACAAAAATTAAGTATGGGACAATTGGATATAAATAATAGGAGAAATGATGCTGGGTGATTTAATAACAGGAATAATAATAATAATTTTAATAAATCGAGTAATAATAATTATGATTTTAATGAAAACAATTATAACGAAAGGTATAATAATAGACGTCTGTATAATAATAATCAAAGATTTCATAGTAATAACAATTTTAATAATAATAAACATTTTAACAACCGCCAAATATTTAATGATAATTATAATTATAAAAATCAAAAATTTCAAGGTAATTATAATAATAATTATGACAGATATAAGAATAATAATATTTATGATAATTCGGTTAAAAATAGACTAAATAATAAAAATAATTATAATCGCGATTTTAATCCGAGAAATAAGTTTTCAAGGAATACCGATATTATTTGTTATAAGTGTGGCACAGCGGGTCATACGAGTGTGGCTTGTAATGCACAAAAAAACTTATAAAGGAACACGTTACTAGGAGTGTTCCTAATATAATTAAAATACCTAGTTATGAACCAATTAATTTAAATACAATCGATAGTAATAATATCAAAAATAATAAAGTTACGCCATCACCAAATATGATTAAATTAAAAAATAGTCAAATTCAAATATCAGGAAAATTAAATAATAAAGAAGTTCAACTTGTGGCAGATACTGGCGCGGATGTAACAGTATTAAATAATGATTATTTTCGATTAGATAAAATAATACCGATTGAAAATAATTTAAATATAGGAACTGCTAATAATGACAAATTAAATATAATAGGAAAATCGTTAGTCGATATAAAAATCGGGAATATAGAAATAAAACACGAATGTATAATAGTTGAGAATTTGTGTTCGCCAATATTAGTGGGAATGGATTTATTAAAGATATTAAAAACTATAATAAATTTAGACAATAAAAGTATAACGTTTAAACAAAAAAATCAAAGAGAAATTTTTAAAACTGATCAAATGGTAATACTCAAAAAATTAAAACATCTAATAGTAAAAAATTGAGAAAGGAATCTTTAACGTCATCAAATATAAATAAACTGAATATACATGAAAATAAAACTTGCGAAACAAGAAGTATAAATAGATTATTGAGGCAATGTGAAAAAGGACCACAAGTACCAGGCGATGGTGATTTTGGAGCACACGCTCTGGCAGTATGTTAAAATAATTTGGGATATTCACTATTTACAATAGATATTTTAAAAATAATAAATATTCAAAATTGTCAAACCGGGTATTATTTAACAGATGAAGATGTCGCTTTTATTTGTAATACTTTGAATAAAAATTTAATTATCATACATGAAGATCATAGAGAAAATGAAGTAATAAATTCGGCACTAATATATTGGAAATCAAATGGACCAGTTGTTTGTATTTTCCACGAACAAAATCATTGGCGCCCAGGAATTTTTAACAATAATAAAGATTCTAAAATACGTATACATAATAGCTGTATATGCTATGAATTTCCATCTCAACCAAATTTTGTTAAAACAAATATAACTGAAATTAACAACACAAAAAATAATAAATCTTGTTTAACTAATATTAATAGTAACAAAATAAATAGAAATATCGTTGATTATAATAAAAAAACTATAGATTTAAATTTTGATGTTAGAAAAATGGAAATAAATCATGAAAATATTTTAAAAATAATAAATCAGATAGTCACCGGTAGATTTTGATAAATTTCTTATAATAAATTATGCTCACACGCAATTAGTGGTAGATAATTATGAAGAACTCATAGGCGATATTTTTACAACGAATTATGCAATTGGACACTGTGTAAGTCAATGTTTATATATGAGTAAGGGGATGCAATCGCATTGAAATTCAAAAACATATTCCAGCAAGTAGTATTTTAAAAAAACAAAATAATCAAATTACAAAAGTCGCTTATTTAAAAATCAATGACAGATGGATAATTTGCATGATTACGAAAAATAAATATTATAATAAACCGTCATTTTTAAATATTTTTAAAACGTTGAAAAATATAAACAATTCTATGAGAAAAATAATATAAATCTATTAGCTTTACCAAAAATATGTACTGGACTAGACAAAAAAGATTGGTGTCTTGTTTTTGCTTTAATTAAAATTGTGTTTCAAAACTCTCCAATAAAAATATAAATTTATCGCTTACCCCAAAATGTAAACGGAAATGACCAAATTATAAAACTCAATAAAAAAATCATGCCTCAACAAAAAAGAACAATGAACCATATAACCATTTATGCATACCTCAGACATATACAAATATTGTGAAAAACGAAGAGGAGTATACTCCAAAAAATGATGACTCTTTTAAATTAAATAAGTCGAATAAAAAAATTAATTCAGGTAGTAATAATATGAAAATAGTAAATAAAATGCACACGACATATAATTTGAATAAAAATAAAATACATTTTGATATAAATAACGAATTACCAGAATATCAACAATACCAATTAAAAAGAGTGTTAGAAATATATTATGATTGTTTTGTACTAAGTCCTATGGATCTTGGATGATCATGTTGTACCAGTCCTTACCATAACAGATGACCCTATTAGCCTACCGCCTTAAGATTATCACTTATTGAACAAACTGAACTTCAAAGACAGGTTGATGAATTATTACAGGCAGGATTAATTGTTCCATCTAATTCTTTTTACGCCAGCCCAGCATTTTTAGTAAAAAAAACAGACGGAACAAAAAGGTTAATAATAGATTATAGACAATTAAATAAACAGGTACCACACTAAAACTTTCCAATTACGCATATGCAAACAATTTTCGATTGTTTAGAAGGGGCAAAATATTTTAATATAATGGATATGCAACAGGGTTTTTTAAATATTCGGTTAGGAAAAATCAATAGGCACAAACTAGTATTTATTACTCCTGGAGGTTTATATGAATGGATACGATTTCCATTTGGATATGAAAATTCTCCTCGTCAATTTTCAAAAGCAGTAACTAAAGCTCTTGTAGGGATACAATATTTGGGGACCATAAACTATGTGGATGATATAATTAATTATGCTAAGAATTTTAATGATTTACTAACAACATTGGAAAAATTACTAATTCGAATTAGAGAGACAGGATTTAAGTTAAAAACATCGAAATGTAAATTTGGTTATTTCGAACTAAAAATATTGGGACACATAGTGAGTAGAGAAGGTATTAAACCAAACCCGGCTGGATTGGATGCAATAAAAAATTTTCCGAGGCCAAAAACCATTAAACAAACTAGAAGTTTTTTGGGGATGTGCAATTTTTTTAGAAAATTTATTCCAAAGTTCGCAGAATTAGTAGCTCCAATAACAAATTTAACCCGAGGACAATATCTTACAAAAAAATCACTGGTCAAATGGACCGAAATACACCAATATGCGTTCGAAAAACTAAAAGAAGGACTTACAAATCCACCTCTCTTGGTTCATTTTAATCCACTTCTGCCAATTGTAATATGGACAGATGCGAGCAAAATAGGTATAGCGGGCACTTTACTTCAAAAATCTGATTTAGATGAACAGTGGCACCCAATTTCATTTATTTCTCGTAGATTAAATGCAACAGAAGAAAAATATAGTGCTATGGAATCAGAATTATTGGCAATTGTTTATTCCCTAGAAAAATTTAGGCCTTACGTTTACGGAGTAAAAATAGAAATATGGACTGATCATGCCCCACTTAAATATTTGGATAATATTAAAAGTTTATCGGTTAGAATCCAACGATTAAAATGTAAAATAATAGAATTCGATTTTACTATAATATACCGAAAATGATTATTAAATTAAGTGTGCGATGCACTCTACAGAAATTCAGTTAACGACCCTCCTATTTCAGAACAAGAGTTACAAAAGGATAGTGAATTAGCAATTTCACACATTCAATCAATTAATTTACAAATTGAACAAACTAATGATCCAAAATTAATCCAGAAATTAAATAATACAGGCGCTACAAAATCCGGAAATTTCAGATAATATTTGGATTAGGAAAGCGAAAAATTATTTTTTAAACCAAGAAAATATTTTAATATATAAACAGGATTATATAAAACGGATTCAACGAACAAAAAATAAATTTAATAGCAATTCCTGAAAAACTTATTAAAGACATTTTATTCAACTTTCATGACCATCCGTTTGCAGGTCATTTAGGAATAGATAAAACCTATAAAAAAATAATCGAGATATTTTTGGCCCACTATGTATAAAGATATTCGAAAATATGTTTTATCATGTCTAAGTTGTCAAAAATGAAAGGCTGATAAAATCCCAACATATGGATTGATGCAAAAGGCACCTACAATTCTAGGTTGGCGATTTGAAATATTTACAATTGATTATATAGGACCCATTAGTCCTAGTAGTAATGGTTGTGTCTATATTTTGGTAGGAACTTGTGCAACTACAAAATACTCGATAGCAAAAGCTTACAAAAAACTGACGGGAAAACGACCGTAAAATTTTTATTAGGTATTATCTCATTATATGGAGCAATTTCGGAAGTACGTACATTCAGATAGAGGTCTACACTTTACAAGTAAATTAGTTAATGACCTACTAACCTCATTAGGAATAAAAAACACCTTTTCAATAGCCTATAGACCACAGAGTCAGGGGCAAACAAAAAAATTTAATGGGACTTTAATAGATATGATAAGTCATTTTTTCCAAGATAAAGATAAAACGTGGTCTCAAATGATAAAATATGTCTTATTCAGGTATAACTCCTCGAAAAATTAAACAACGGGATTCACACCATTTTACCTACTCCATGGATATAATCCAAAATCATTTTTTTTTTTTTAATATTATAGAAGCAAACATTCAACCTGACATTTTAATAGAATTTAAAAAAATTAACAAAGTAAGAAATTAATTCCCAAAAATATTTGAAAAAAAATTTAATATGAACAAAACATATTATGATCAACATAAAAGTAATGCTATATTTATGCCAGGAGAAAAAATTTTAATTAAGACACCAATTAAAAATAATACTAATAATAATAAAAATAATGTATAGGTATAAGGGACCCTTTACAATAATTCAAAAAATTTCGGACGATACTTATTTAATAGAAATAATAAAAAAATGGCCAACTGGCACAAGATTATAAACATGTACCAAAACCAAATCAAACTCATTAATATTGTTAAGCAATATTAATGAAGTGGAAACAGTTTATATTTAATTTGTTTTTAATTTTTTGAGTCAGTATCAAAATTACAAAATGTAAACTACAAGTAAAAAAAAAAATATATATATATATATATATGTATGTGTATTTATATATATGTATGTATGTGTATGTATGATGTGTATGTGTATGTATATGTATAGGTGTGTGTGTGTGGGTGTGACTCAAGACCTCAAGATATATACACAGTCAATAAGAAAACCGTGAAAAGGACGAAAAACACTAGTGGTAAAGTATAAAGAATATATATATATATATATATATATATATATAATTATTCAAACAAAAGCCAGGTCAGTATATCGGATAATTATTGTTAACAATACGATACTAATAAATAAAAAATGGGTTGTGGCCAAGTATTGTTAGCATTATTGTTATTTAACAAGTGATTTTACAGAATATACGTGGAACAAAACAAGGGTTTTATTAACAAAAAACTAAACGGATCCGGCCTATACTATGAACCAATTTCTAAACTAAATGTATACTCAGCAATTTTTGAATTGATTGTACACGTTAATATATCGGTATACTTTGAAAAACACGATCAAATAAATATGTTATTCAAACATAATATTGATGTATGCCGTATTAAAAACCAAAATATATCGGTTATTTGCTATATGTTTCAACCAATCTTTTATAACGCATAGACAGAGCTTACAACAAGATTTAATAACTTAAATACAATACAAGGAGGAACCAGAGTTAAAAAAGGACTTATTAACGCGGTAGGATAATTTGAAGAATGGGCCTTTGGTACGGTGAGAAATAGTGGATATAAACAATTAAAACAATCTATTAGTAAAAATGAAAAAAAAAAAAAAAAATAAAGAAACATTATCATTAATGAAATCCCAGGTGAAATTGGTACAGTCAGCAGTAGGTAAATCAAATATCTAACATCTTCTCTATACTGTCACAATCCTTCATAAACTTATAAAATCAGTATAACAACTTATTGGCTAGAGTTACGCAAAAAAATAATGAACTACTGGAGGTAGAATAAAACAAGAACTAATAGAGTTTCTTTTAAAATTGGTTAATTTCTGAGTTTTCTTTTGAAACCGAGGAAATGATTGACACATTAATATTAGTACAACAAAATGTATTACATTAATATTAGTACAACAAAATGTACTCCACCCGGTAATATTAAATAATATATGATTGAAAGAACATTTAATTACTGTAAAAAAAAACACTGACTCAGATACAGTCCCTTCCAGTGGATATTTTTGAAAAAGATTCAATTAATGAATTTCTAAAATTAACAAAAATACTTACAACATTTTTGAACTCACAATTAATATACTCTTTAAATTTTCCACTATGCAATCGAGACGAATACATTTTATACCGATTGTGGCCAATGCCAATTGAAATTACACAAGCACAATTTATTTTTATACAACTATATATTGCCATTTCAAATGATAAACAAAAATTTATCAGGTTATCTGATTGGGATATGGTTAATACCATTTCTTTACCATACATGAAATATCTCTTGTTAAATAGTGCAATACATTTAAAAACATTCCCCTTGTGTGAAATCCAACTTTTTGATTCACTCAATATAACAAAACTACCCGAACAATGTGAAGTACGACATGTGTACTACAATAATATTAATTTAAAAAAAATGCATTCAAAAAATAAATATCTTTATTGGATAGCTAATGCTATGCAAACAACGTTAATATACCCGATATTAACATCAATACACATTTTTCAAGGGGTGGGTATTATAACAGTACCTCTCGATTGCATCCTATATACAACTATAGCAATTTTATACTCAACAAATGAAATTAACCATATTATTCTTACAGATTTTTACCCGAAAATTAATCTTATCAGCCTATAGGAAATATAGAAAAAATTAAAAAATTGACAACTTTAAATCACTCCCCTATATTTTCGAAACTCAAGACACCGAATTTAAAAAATGTACAAGAGACTACGCGTCTCTAACTATTTAGATTCGTTGTTAAACGATATTGAGAAACAATCGAATGACGATTTTTCCATTGCAAACACTGCACTACACCAATATGGGTTATACGTAATTTCCGTAATAGTAGGTTCTGTAATCATTTATTTATTAATAAAATAAATCAAAGCACAGTGCACATCAAACATTAACAGAAACGTATTTCACAACCAGAGAGTAAGGCAAGAAGGCAGAATGGTGTAAAACAAACGTAACAATAAACCATACCAATATTTATAATAAAAAAAAAAAAAAAAAAATGTATTGAATGTATAATTCATAAAAAAATTAAATTATTAATTTTTATTATTAAAAAAAGGGGGTTAAAAAAAAAGTGTTTGTCGTATACGCCACGCAAAGACTTGACGTATAGCAACACAAAAAAAAGGGTATCTGTCAGTTGTTGGACACTCTAACCGTCAAACAAGCACGTAAAGAAAAACCTTTATAATTGGCCCGGACGACTACTTCATTAAGTGACAAAGAATAAGATTTAGCACTGAATTGAGGTTTAAAATACAATATAGTTTTAATACCCTTTTTGT